TCGCCCTTCAGAGCTTGCGCTTGACTTCCCACCACTACAACGAGGGTTGCGAGTAAGCTGCAGGACCGGGGCCAACGTCACTGAGCGGCTCGCGGCTCAGAGCTGGTGTACCGCCGCGTGGGCGCCATCGGCAAGGCTTGGGTACGCCCCAATGGGTTGCAGTTGGCTGCAATGGCTCGCGCCTGCTCTACGCGTGGTAGTATTGCTCCTTACTCCATTGACAAACCGCAGTGCGGACGACGTTTCACTACATCGGAGGTGCAGTGTTGGGCTCCGAGGAGTTGAGCTAGGCCATAGTAAGCACCGAGTCGATTTCTAGTGGCGCAAAGTGGCATCTGTTGCTGAGAAGGCTGCGCTGAGAAGGCTATTAGCGAGTACCAGTCACGTGCACGAAGCAGCTAGTGTACGTGATGACCATCGTCAAAGGGCAACGAGCGACACGCAGCAACTGTAGCCAAGGCTCTGAGTGCCAGGATGCTTCCAAGGACCAACAGAGCTTCAAGGAGAGACGACCCAGCAGCAAGGACTACAACAGGAACAGGATCGAGGACGGACGACGCAAGGAGGGTACGCAGTACTGGTAAAGATATCCGAAGCGGCGGCGAAAGATAGCGAGCAGCAGTCAAGACGGCGGCGGCGACGGGGTGAACAAGCGGAGGAAGAGTCGAAGAGAGCATGACATCGAGGATAGCACACAAGGGGCGTGGAAGAACGAAGGGGAAACTCGCCGACGTGCCACCGCACCCAAGGCAACGACCAAGACCGACGATTGACCAAGGTGTGCTGGTCAGAAGCCGTTGGCCGGCACCCATGGCGCCCACGCCACCAAGTGATGGCAGTAAAAGTGTAGTCAGTATCGAAATAGCGCTGTAGGGTACAGATCAACCCATACAGTAGAGCCAAGCAGAAAGTAACGTCAATACACGAAGCAGTTGGTCGTAGCAAGTCGACTAAGGTCAAAGTGCAGTCGAAGTGAAGAGCCCGGTCCGAGGTGACGAGCAGCGTGCACACAGAGTCACAGTGCACACGTGCGTCCATCGACGACCAGTACCCCGCGGACACATCCGCCGGAAGGGAGAACCCGCGAGTTGTGCGCGCACGTGGGCACAGTTCACAGAGGGACAGCTCCAGTCAGCTATCGCCTACCTGGGCCCGATAAGAAGCGGAGGGGTCGAGGATCACGTGCCAGCACCTGGGATTGGCGACGTACAAGGCGTTGTGCGTGTTGGATATCGCGTGGAGCGGTGTATATTTGTATAGGTGACGAATTGGCGTTGCTAGCCGCCGAGGACCCCGGCGCTGCAGAGCCGCGGACTCGGACAGGGTGCGGACGGTAGCTGCAGAAGGGCAGATCGCTTACTCCATCGTCATGTCGGCCCTCGGATCGGGTTGGTAGAAATATGTCGGTAGTGATGGTAGTACTCGCTGAACGGCAAACTGGACGAGGCGGCGGCGAACTTCACGATCTGCAATTGTTCGTGAAGAAAACGATCGAGAACCCGACGGCCAGAGTTCTAGTGTACCCCCGGGCGACAAGCAGAAGGGGGAGGCGTTATATTGCTCAATTGAAGGGGCAAGCCTTTTGACTCGTGGTTTTCTCCTTGTAAGGCTGTAAGACGGTCAAGAGTCGGACCCGGGGCAACATCAACATCAGACTTCCGGGTTATGGTTTGGTCGAATCCAGGCCAGACGCTACAACCTGGCACTATAAGCGGCTACGCTAGGCAGGTTATTGGAGTGCAACACCCATACAGTATTTTGGTTTGCAGTGACGCAGACACCAGTTGAGCAACACTAATAAAACAGTTCTATACGATATTCCCCTTCACTCGATTATGCTTGTGGCTGCTTGTGACTGCTTGTTCACAGCATCCCGAAACACGGAGTTAATTTGACATGTGAGTAGCGACAGCCAATAACACGGCGGCAGGGTGAAAAAGTATTGATTTCATAGCAACAGGAGAAGGCGAGGCCGAGGAGGTTGAAGAGGGCAAACCAGCACATCGTAGCCGGAAACAAATTGTGCTGGATCGCGCGCACGTCCATTTTGCGGTTGCGGAGCTCGAATCGGTTCTCTGCCTTCGCTTTCTCGTGTCGCGGGTGCTTAGTACGGATGGTACCGGTCCGATCGTCCGCCTGATCCTCCTTGAGAACCCGAGCCGCCCTGACGGTAGCCACCGCCATAGGCGTAGCTCCCAGAGCGTAGTCCCCGCCAGCCTGGTCACCCGTGCAGAACGCACTGCAGAGCAAATTTGAAGCCACGCAGCTAGAGTTGACTGAGAAGCGGCAACATGATTCCCGAGTGAAACGAACTCGGCATACAGAGGCAAATGCAGCAACGTGTCAATGAACCGTCCAGCAGCAGACTGGAGCAACAGGGTGGAACGATTGAGCAGCAGAGCCAGCTCATCCAGCGCCTCAAAGAAGAGTAGATTTTTTTTTTCTTGCCTAGCGAGCTTCTGCCGTTGAGCGTGCTGAAGATCAAATGCATGCTTAGCATTTACTGAAGAGCAACATATCGGCTCGAGTGTGATCTAGCAAGGAGCCACAAACTCGACGAACAGATAAGAGAACTGTCCGAGACGTCGCAGCTGCTCGCCGAAGACATACTCCAGATGAAGCTCAAGCTAGCAGGACGAGACCAAATGCTACTGAAACGTGGCCAAAAGTATGCGGAGCTTGCTCATGCTAACCGCGTACTGAGTCGGCATGCCCAAGCGATAGAACTATCCGAGCGCGAGCTGGTTGCAGTGCTCATTCCGACCAAGAAGCGACTGGCACTTCTCCGAGACACACTAACAAGGTTCTGCTACGAGCTGGAGGGGATAAGATAGCAAATGGTGGCGAGTCGCAGTCGGTTAGTGCACCGAGATGACCGAGTGCTGATGAATTCGTGACTAACACCTTGGTTCATTTTGCTCTTTAGCGAAGTTTCACTTGTTGCGTGAGGATGGCAAGCGAAATCGAGAGCTGCACAGCCAAAGTGTTTCTGCTAGAAACAGGTACTTCGAAGTAGGAGAGCTACCTGTAGATTAAAGCGAACCCGGAGGAGCACAATCTGACTAACACTTG